ACCGGCCAAAACATGTCTTTATGGATCTGGCTTTGTGCACAGGGGCACAGTCATTCTGGAACTAAAAGGGCCTTCAAAATGGTACCACAAGGTTGGCCATATTAAATGGTCAGGTACTGATGTTGAATGAGTAATCCTTCCAAAGCTGTTCAGTGGGGTTGAGGTCAGGGCTCTGTGAAGGCCATTTGAGTTCCTCTGCAGGAAACCGGTAAAACCATGTCTTCATGGATCTGGCTTTGTGCACAGAGGCACAGTCATGCAGGTACTGAAAAGGGCCTTCAAAATGGTACCACAAGGTTGGCCACATTATATGGGCAAAAGCTTATGAACACTTGACCATCACATCTATATGGGCTTGTTGGACATTCCCATTACATCACTATGGGCATTAATTTGGAGTTGCCACCCCCCTTTCTTGCAGTTATAGCTGCCTCCTTTCTTTCCCCTTCTCCCACTCTTTTGGGGTGTGTCTGTGGAAATTTAAATCCATTTAGTCAAAAAACTCTTTGTTATGTTAGGTACTGATTTTGCATAAGAAGACCTGGCTGGCAATCAGTGATCCAATCCATCCCAAAGGTGTTCAGTAGAGTTAAGGCCATTATGACTGAGTCATCCCCACCTAGTAGTTACCTTGTAACCAACCCATAAGTTCCTCCACTCTTCTGGGAAGGTCTGATGATGTTGGATTAGAAGACCTGGATCGCAATTGCTGGCCCAATTCATCCCAAAGGCGTTTAGTAGGGTTGAGGTCAGGACTCTGTGGAGGACGTTTTTCCACACCAAACTCATCAAACTATGTATTTATGGAGCTGGGCTTGTGCGCAGAGGCCGGTACAGAAAAGGGCCTTCACCAAACGCTTACAAGAAGGTTGGTGAAGGCCCTATTCTGGTCCATCATGACTGTACCCCTGTGCAATACAGTTGTCCAAAATATCTTTGCATGCTGTAGCATCAACAGAACCTTTCACTGGAGACACCTGAACTCAATACTTTGTAGATGTGCCCACATACTTGGTGTGATGGGCAGGTGACTAGAAACTCTTGGCCATCTTCTGACAGATTTCCTTTGAGTTTACGATAACCCAAAGCGCAGATTATGAATCACAGATGCAAATTTGTATTTTTTTTAAATGTCAGCCTTTTTATCCAACAGCCGTTTCTTTATTCCCGTTGTATTAAGCCTCCACCGTTTTACTTCTCGATCTTTATCTTTTTTTTTTTTTTCCACAACCGGCAACGCAAAGCTGCTTCTCTTTATTACAAATTAATTGCTGTACAAGATGTGGCGTATCGCGAGCAAGTCTCTTAAGCAGGGCAAGGGCTTTTTCATGCAAAAGAAAACCTAATTTAAGCTGTTTCATCTCCACCCACACACACTGGAAAAGCCTTCATTTTCAAATATTCATGAGCAAAACTCCGTGCAGCTGGTGAGAAATCTGTCAGCCCGTTTAGAGGTTTACCCCGTGCGCTCGATCTTGTTTGTTAAAGGAACATTCTGGATTTAACCCCGCTTTTTCCGAAAATTCCCGAGTCACTCGCGTGGAGGTTTCTGTCCATTTTTTCCTGGCGTGGATTACAGTCTCAGGCATTCCTCCTTATTTTTTAAAGCTGACCATACACGTTATAATCTGATCCGACAATCTTCTTAAAGTGACAGTGCTGCCAAAAAAATAAATTACAATCTCCCGTTTAGTTTACTGATTTTGTATTGAGATTGTAGTCCATCCCGGGAGCGAGCTCGGAGCGGTGACTACTTTACAACACACACAGGGACCATGGGGAACAAAAGTAGCCCCCCCAGAAGGAAGGACAGTGTCAGCACCAATTCAGAGATGATTGGAGGATCTGCGGCCGAGTGATACACAAATAAGATACATTGTTGTTCATAGTTACGGGACTTGAATGTATTTTTAAGGTTGTGTCACTTTAAAGCTTCCAAAACAAATACCATTCAAAGAAAGGCTGTAATCATGAACATGTTCTGCTGTCCAAGGTGCTGAACGCCAGAGGAATGGTCCCCCAATGTCCTCTGGGAAACCGACATGTCTCAATTATCCTTGATCTCCCATAGATTTTACCAGGTCCTCCCTCTGACCTCCACATTGTTGCTATCTCCTTTAGGAGGACAGTGAGAGCTTCAGGAGACCCAGGAGATTGACAGGAGTGTCAGTTCCCCAGCAGAATTTGGAGGAGGATAGAAAGCTGAACTGTAGGATAAGCAAATATTATCTCAATACAAAGTAGCCCAGGGCTCACCAGCCCATCACTCCTTGTGGGATGTTGTCAGTTAGGTGACATGGGGCCTCCCAAGGCATGGAGTCTGCCAGGTATGTCAGTCCTGACAGTGGAGTTCTGCTTTTAAAGCTGAATTTCGGGATAAGCAGATAAGAGTCCTATGTATTCTTTATTGAATCTTAGTGAGCTTTGTGTATTTCTTCCAGATCTGTGCAGTAGCCCAGTGTGAGACTTGAAGCTTCCTGTAATAAAGACTGGTCACTGCTGCTCTCTCTCCTTGTGCAGGATGACTGGTCTTGTCTCCGCCCCGTCCTGGAATAAAGACCGCTTACTGCTGCCCTCTTCACTTGTGCAGGGTGACTGGTCTTGTCTCCACCCCCTCCTGTAATAAAGACCACTCACTGCTGCTCTCTCTCCTTGTGCAGAGTGACTGGTCTTGTTTGCTCCCCTCCTGTAATAAAGACCAGTCCCTGCTGGTCTCTCTCCTTGTGCAGGGTGACGGATCTGTCAGGCTGGGGAGGAATGTAGTAGATGATGCTGGATGTCTTCCGGCCAGGAAATAAGGCGGGCTCTATCTGACTTGCTGCAGCTTCTATTGCACATTGTGAGAAGCTCACAGTGTGCAGTGATATCAGAGGAAACCATTTCAGTCTAGGAGAGGAGCCGGTGCAACTGTGCCAGACTGAAGTTGAGGCCGGAGTTCAGCTTCACGGGTAACCTGTGGTCACTTTGATGGACGAGGACATTTTCCAGCTTTTAGTCACTTTCTAGTTCTGAAACAATCATCCAACTTTCCTGCCGCTGAACTGAGTGCCCTGGAAATTTTAGGTGACCAGGAAGTCAGACGGGACTGCTGCAAAGAACCTGCACAGCCAACTGAGAGTCCGCATAGCCCACCATAGAACCTGCACAGCCCTCCTCAGAATCCGCAAAGCCCAGCATAGACCCCACAAAGCCCACACGAGAGTTCGCACAGCCCAGCATAGACCCCATATAGCCCACCTGAGAGTCCGCACAGGCCACCATAGAACCTGCACAACCACCTGATAGTCTGCAGAGCCCACCACAGACCCAGCTTAGCCCACCCGAGAGTCTGCACAGCACACCATAGAACCTGCACTGCCACCATACATAGAACCTGCACAGCCACCTGAGAGTCCGCACTATTACACTAATTGCCATTATTTTTCCTAGACTTCTACTTTTGGAGCTAGTTATTTAGTTATTACTAAAACCAGCAATAATTGAATGCAGAGGGAATTATTTAATATGATAGAGTAGATACATTTATATAGTCTTACAGATACAACCGGCCCTTTGAGGGCAACCATAATGCTGATGCGGCCCACTATCAAATTGAGTTTGACACCCTTTTTTTTTTTTTTTAAGCCCGTGGACGTGCGTCTAAACAAACTTCCCCCTGTGAACAAAAAAAGTGCAACCGTGAAATCACAGCACACAAAAACGTGCACAAGGTCCTTCAAAAGAAGGGACCTACTTTCCCGACCCCCCGGGGCGCAAGGCTCCTGACAGGGGTTGAGACTGTTGGCCCACCAACCCGAAGGCCGGTGGACCATTTCCGTCGGGGACCTGCCGAAACAGGTCCCACACAGTACTAGGCAGGGGGGATCTCCCGAAGAGAAACCCCCCTCCTGGGTGGGAGGAGACAGAGAACCCCGTAGGAGGCACAGAATCTCCTCCCAGCATCAGGAATAGGCCCCGAAGAAACCTGCACCTTCAGCATCTGTGGGTCAAAAAGCTTTTGAAAAAAAAGCCAAACGTGCAATCGTGCATAACTAATACTAAAGTGCCAGTGCACCACGCTGACAGGCCTTAGGGGCTGAGTGCAAAAAAATTGCCCCGGATTAGCCATAAGGCCTGTCCAAGAGGCGTTGTGCAGAAAATTGCAATGTGGTGTGTGACCGAGTGATCAGTGAGTCAATGTGGGTCTCCCACACCCAAGTGACTTCCTGAGCACCCCTGGGACGCCACCCCCAGGGGGCACAACACCACGGGCTTCTGCCGCCCCCGAACCCTCTAGCCTCGACCAAGCTTCGTATCCATTCCCATCAGGAGATAGTTCACCTTCAGAGATCCCTCCGCCGGAGCCCACCCATTAACTAGGGTCGAAAGCTCCGAGGGCCTGGAACCTCATCCGGCTCCCTACCAATTACGCCAGGAATCTACTGGTCCGCCATACACCCCGCTCTAGTGACAGCAGACTTTCAATTCCCGACAACTGATAAGAACAGATACTACACTTGATCTTAGCCAAAAGGCCGAGAAGTGAGTTTGACACCCCTGGTCTAGATGATGCTGGACGTCCTCCAGCCAGGAAATGAGGAAGGGCTCTGTCTAACTTGCTGCAGCTTAATGCACATTGTGAGAAGCTCACAGCGTGTAGTGAAATCAGAGGAAGCAATTTCAGTCCAGAGAGGAGCCGATACAACTGTACAGGCAGCTTTAAAACATCATCCATAAGCAATCACATCTAGGGTCGCGTCTTACAAGAACCTTTATTTTACAGTGAAATCAACAGATTGGTAAATTAAAAGCTATATACAGACGAAGCAGAATCCCAAATTCATTGAAACTTACTAGATTACAATATGACAAACGGGTAGACGCATCTAAGGGTTGATTTGACAGAATTTATCTAAAAAAAAAAAAAATGAAGGCAATGACATCTTTATAACGGGAATGAAAACACTGTGCGAACCCTTGGAAGATTCCTACGATCAGATGGCGTCTTTTTTAAAAAAAAATTTCGGGGGAGATTCGGCAGAGACGACAAGAAATCGGACTCTATATGGCTCGTGAGTCAGCTAGCTCTAAACTCCAAAAAAAACCCGGAACCGGAATGACACAGGTATAACAGGCTCGGCCAGAAGACCTGGGACGGATTCTTGGACACCTGGGAGGATGCAGTTCCGTAGAGTCCCAACTGCTGCTTACGAGCACTAACTACTCCACTGATATTAAATGACGGCTTCTCTTGTCTACGTTTGCCTGGAACAAGCTTATTTTTTTATTTCCTCACGTTTAAGGAGAACTTAAAAAAAAGAAAAAAGAAAATTGACATTATTTAAAGCCTTTAATTAGCCGAATTTCCACCCGCTCTATATCCGCTGTAATCTTCTTCATGAGGAGAATGTGTCGCACCTGCAATAAAGGGGAAAAGGAATATTATTAGCAGATCTATATATAACTGTGTGTTATTTCAAGGAAGCAATTAAAGGCACATGACTTAGGGCCATGTCATGCTAGCGATCCATTTGCAGCTCGCCTGAGAGCACTTACCACCTTCTATGACATCAAACTATCACTGGCCGAAACAGCAAGACGTTGTTTCATTACTACTTCCTGCCACCGGGTATTTTTGGATCAACCTTGTGCTCGATTGGTCAGGTTTTCGGCATTTACCCCCACACTGTAAAAGGGTTAAAGGGTTATTAAACCCTCACGTTTTTGCATATATCTACTGGTAGTAAGCAGTAGATATATGCAAAACAATTTAAAAAAAAAAAACTTTTTCAAAGGGTTAATACTTACCTGTGTCCCTGCTGCGTGCTCCCATCCGAACATCGGAAAATTTCTCGGGCGGCCGCAAGGGATCTTGGGGTGGGCGCATGCGCAGTTCAGATGTTCGTCCGGGATACGAGGAGAGACACAAGGTAAGTCTATGGAGCAGTGTGCACCCGCGCAGACTCCGTGGGACATGAACGAAGAGGAGGACAGAGGAGTCAGCGCTGGATCGGAGACTTTAAAGTGCTCGATTTGGTCTAGGGTCTGAAATAAAAAAAAAAATATGCTCACCTGATCCTCAGCCCCGCCCCCACAGATTGATTCCAGCTGCCCCTCTCCAGTGGGCTCCGACGGTCTAAGGACCCTTGACATCATCACGTCTATAACAGTCCATTGACTTCCATTAGACATGAGGATGCCCAGAGACGTTCCACAGCTGGAGAGAGGTGAACGGTCACCACCACGGGATTGAGGATCAGGTGAGCATATCTTCTTTATTCCGGCCCCTATAGCAAAATCGGCACTTACCCCTTGCAGTGGGAGGGGTAGCCCCACTGCAAGGGTTAATTTTTAAAATGCCCAGAGTTCTTCTTTAAGGGCCAGGTCGCAATTCTGCCTCTGGCTAAGTGTGAATGACATCTTCCTCGTTGGCCATAACAATGCAGAATATCCGCTTGCCAGCAAGGAAGCTGTCGTCTGCATTCAGCCGGAGGCAGAATCACAAGTGTGATGTGGCCCTAAAAGAGAATTTGTACTTTGCAGTACTGATTGGACAGGTTGGCCACCATGGGGCTCCAAAAATACCCGGTACTTTTTGGTATGCAGGAATATGGGGAACAACCCCTCCCCCTGCCTCTCCACAATGCACCGTCTAATCACCAGCCTTGAGGGCTGTGACATGGCGGCATTGGAAGCCTGCATAGTCCTGTGCAAGTTACAAGAAAAATCCTACATTGGAGTCTGCAGGGGGGCCTGATGTCATTGGAGAAGAGCATTAGGGATCTCAGCAACCAAATATAATTCAGGTATCATCTTGTCAATCAATAGAATTCAGTTGTCATCTTAGCAACCAATAGAATTCAGGTATCATCCTACCAACCCAATAGAATCCAGGTATCATCTAAGCAACCAATAGAATTCAGGTATCATCTTGGCAACCAAAAGAATGCAGGTATTATCTTAGCAACCCAATAGAATCCAGGTATCATCTTAGCAATCCAATCAAATTCAGGTATCATCCCAGCAACCCAATAGAATCCAGGTATCATCCTAGCAACCCAACAGAATCCAGGTATTATCTTAGCAAACCAATAGAATCCAGGTATCATCTTAGCAACCCAATAGAACCCAGGTATCATCCTGGCAACCCAATAGAATCCAGGTATCATCCTAGCAACCCAATAGAATTCAGGTATCATTCTAGCAACCCAATAGAATCCAGGTATCATCCTAGCAACCCAATAGAATTCAGGTATCATCCTAGCAACCCAATAGAATCCAGGTATCATCCTAGCAACTCAGTAGAAACCAGGTATCATCCAGCAACCCAATATAATCCAGGTATCATCTTAGCAACCCAATAGAAACCAGGTATCAACCTAGCAACCCAATAGAATCCAGGTATCATCTTAAAAATGAAATACAACCCAGGGCTATAGAATGAGAGCTGATAATGAATTGGTTGCTATGGTTAACGGAACTGTATATATTTTTGCTTTAAACAAGGTCCTATCATTGTTTGCTAAGCACCAGTGGCTGCCTTTTGGGTTCTGGGATCTCCAATTCCCCAGATACCTAGAATGTTCCAGGTGGCCCAGTCCCGGGCCACATATAAAGTGCCATTTAATTAGCTGTTTGTGTTTGTCAATGTCTCGTCACATTTTATTTTTCAGTGATTTCTCCCCAGAATCTCACTGTCTGTCGCTCTCCAGATCCTATATATATCAACAGCGCACCCAAGGGAGCCCGAGCTCATGGCTGGAAACATGCTGGAAGCAAAGACCGGGATGGATTGTTGTGCGTGAGCTCTGCAGCCGAAAACAGATACTAATTCCAAGGGGGATCTATCTAAGGAGCTTTATTCCCTTACATGTCATGTCATATAAGATAATTAAAGGCTTATTTAATAGTGTAAGAAGCGCTGATGCATTGTAATCCAAAGTAATCAATCATCATTAAGGTTGACGTATGACTATGCAGGGCAAAGCAACAGGTTCACATAACGTCACCCCCGCCTTCTGGGAGCATAAAATTGACTCCCTTCCCTCCCATGTGACAGCACTGGTACTTTGTGATTGGCCGCTCAGGCACCCCATGCAGTCACATGGGGACTGGGAGAGAGAGTGCACATACAACTTACACAGGGCTGAACTTAAAGGCTTCCTTTAAAGGAAAACTATGAGGTGAGTGCTTTCCACTCACCTCAGGCAACATTCACACGTCATAGCGACATACCTTTTGCAGCGGCCGGGATAGCGCGACTTTCAGGGCGACGTTCCAGCGACGATCCAGCGACGGTAGCCGGACCTTCTCCGTCGGGCTCCATTAGAAAAAAGCAAAATCCGCCAAAAAAAGGGTCCTGTAGAAGCGACTTGCGACCGCGACGAGCGACATGGAGCTAAGACAGCTCCATTGAATATAATTAGCCGGCGACTTCTCGCGATATCGCACGGCAAAAATGCGCGATATCGCGGCGGAAATCACTACGTGTGAATTGGGCCTCATAGTTCTAGCCGACCTGTGACAATGAGACTGTCAAAGGTCGGCTCAGGAGATCGGGAGGTGAGCGAACACATACCGGCGTTCGCTCACCTCTCGATCCTGTCACGGCTCTCTGCCGTGACAGGGGAGGGGCTGGATTCCCCCTCCCCGCTCCGATCCACCAGCGCTGACTGGCCGAACGGACGGGGGAGGGTACAGCTGGCTCTGCCTTTAGATAGGCAGAGCCAGCTGTCAGTCACGCAGCTGGGCGGATTCCGACACAATTGTCGGGATCCGCTTCAGCTGTGGCGTCTCAGTATTCCGCGAGCAGTAGCCTAGGGTGACGGGAGGACGCTAGTTTGTGTCCTCCCGTTACCCTAAGGAGAACTATGGGGAAAAGACTTAACCCCATAGTTCTCCTTTAAAGCTGAGCTCAGGTCCAATATAAATGTGCACCATGTAATCCATCTGTGGATTCATTAAAAGGATATTAAGAGGGTTATTCACAAAGGAGCCGAAGGATCCAGCTGTAGCTTTGGCTGATCCTTTGGCTCTCTTCGGCCGCTGGAGCCCTTCGGTTCAGTCGAACGGAAGGGCTGCAGTACAGGCTATTCACTATAGCCTGTACTGCAGCCGAAGGCGGCCAAGCGGCTCAGACGAGCAGAAGGCATATGCTTCGGCTTGACTGAGCCAAAGTGACAGCCGAAGTGCCTGCCGAAGGCCGGCCGTTCGCCCTGCAAATGACAGCTGTGCGGAGCGGGCTGGCTCCGCCCAGTTGTAATGACAGATCAGCGTCCCCAAATGACCTGGAGATGCTGATCTGTCATTAAACATTAACAACTGGGCGCAGCCGGCCATGACAAAGATTCTAGCAGGTGCCAGCCAATAGGAAAAACAAATGTGAATTGGGGCGAACGGCAGCGAGTGAGCTGCCGGAGCTTCGGCTCAGCTGATCCAGATGTTGGATCGGCTGAGTCAAAGTCTTTCTGCAGTTCGGCTCAGCCAAACATGCAGAGCATGTTCGGCTGACCAAAGGCAGCCGACATACGGCTGATTTCAGCTGATGTACGGCTGAAATCAGCCATAATTAGCCGGAGTGAATAGCCGAACGTCGTTCGGTTCTGTTCACCTCGGCTCGGTTGATCACTTGGCTGCCTTCTGCAGCTTAGTGAATAACCCTGTAAATGTATTTTTTTACACCCCACACAAGACTGTCTGGGCAGAATCACAAATCCTAATTCAGTTCCCATATATGTATATCATGCAAAGCAAGACTGCAGTCCTTCCCAGGAGTAATGTGAAAGGCCTGCCGAATCGGGTTGCATGCCATTTGACAACAGGGACTACAATTCTATGGAGGGGACTTCATTCCTTTGGCAGTCGCGATGTTTCGGCAGTCAGAATGATTTTGTACCTGTAGTCTGGATTTGCTCTTTAGGACTCGGTAACCACACATCCCCCTTACCAGCCTTCTCCTTGTTTTTTGTTATTTTACGATCAGATCCCGAGCTGCAGGAACATGTGTTTCTAGACATATTTTTGGACTGAAGATGATTCAGCGCTACTTAAACAAAACATACAAACTCCCCCACATGATGTACTCAAGGTTTTATCTTTGCAAATAGTGATCATGCAAATCATGTTTCTTTTCCTCCCCGTAAGGCGTGTGACACCGATCCATGTAAACACGCATCAGCCGTGACAGCGGATCTTTCCCAAAGAATCGTTGCAGGGATCGAGGTGCGGAAAAGCAAACCATCTAAAGCTTTTATTAATATTGTAGAGAGCGACAGTGCGGAGGAGCCGGTCCGGGGCCATAACCATGTCCGGTGGGGTCCCAAAGCAAAACTATTGAAGCCGAACACAAAAAAATGAATTTCGAATATATTCCTCAATAGCCACAAAGGATATAAAGGCACATTGTGTGCACCAAATGTCTATGAAGACGCAGTTATTATCTTGTAAATGTAGCAGTGACATCCATCATTGTGCTTTGCATAGACTGTGCAGAGAGCAGAGCTGTGGGAGGGGCCTGGGATGCCCCACCCACTACAAGCTGCTTGCAGACTGAGTGGTCCTTATTACAGGAGGTGGCGGAGATAAGACAAGTCACCAAGCAGAAGAAGAGAGGTCAGCAGTGAGCGGTCTTTATTACAGGAGGGGCGGAGGCAAGACCAGTCACCCTGCACAAGGAGAGAGAGCAGCAGTGACCGGTCTTTATTACAGGAGGGGGCGGAGACCAGACCAGTCACCTTGCACAAGGAGAGAGAGCAGCAGTGACCGGTCTTTATTACAGGAAGCTCCACGTTTCACACTGATCTACTGCGCAGATCTGGAAGAATAAGACCCTGTACAGGAGTGCTCAGACTAGGAGAAGGAGAAGCAACATAAGGTGTCAAACAGGTGTGCAAGGAGCATGCAGGATAGAGCAGAGTGACAGAGGGATGAGCTCACCAGTGTGCTGCTTCTCCTTTCAATTACTAGTCA